ACTGGGAACCAGTCGCGCCCTTCAATCCCTTCTCAATATCTCTCCTGCTTCGATCCCCCGTCGCAAGACTCCTCCGCGTCTCCTAAGTCCCCTCCAGCTACGATCCCCTCCTCCCTCCCGGTCGCAGAAGCGAGTGGCCCAGAAAGACTTGAACAACCTCACGCGCTCCTCCCCATCACCCTGCTCTCCCTCCAAACTTACGCGTCGTGCGAACAAGCGCAACCGATCTGCCTATGAAATAGACCTCGACTCGGAAATTGAGGATCGCGAACCCACCAAAAATGCCAAATCGCGCGACCGTTTCTCCACGCCCAAGCGTCGCAGACAAATCCCCAATGACCTACCACTAGGTCTTACTCAGGAAGACTTTTACTCACTTTATTCACCCCCGATCACACAGTCGCCTCTGTCGCCGGCGCATCGACCGCAAGAAGATCTGAGCGCAAGTGAAATAAACCCTCTGGAAACCTCACTATACAATCCCGACGCGCCACTGCCGTCCATCGAGACAAACGATGAAAGCATAAAGTCCGCGTCACACGAAATACTTCCGATCGATGCGTCACCTTCCTGGGTCGCAGAGGACGATCGACGGCTAGTGAACTTGGTCCTCGAAAGATATCAATTCTCCGAACAAATCTTGGATGACTGCGCCAGAGAACTGGGCAGAAACCACGAATCCATCAGACGCAGATGGCAAACTCTTTTAGGCCAGGGGGAGATAGGCTTGCGACGAGGAGCTAAACCAGACCCGATGGGGATTTAAAATGGCCTCCTTTTCGTTTATTCCTCCCTGTGTCTACCGATGAATATTTTCGTTCGTTTATTATTGCTTACGATACCGACTCTACTCGCTTCTGAACTTGCGCCTTTTTAAACCGCCAATACCCTGATAGCATCGCTACGCTACCTCCTGTATTATGACTTTGACTTATTCGGCTCTCCTGTTTTACTTTTCACACAACTTACGGGCTCATGTACGATACGGGATATGGATGGATTTGTTTTACTTCTTTTCTTCTTTTCGTTAGGTGTTCCTTTCGGGGATTTCAGATTGTGTTACTACTACCCATTACTTTACCTTATTTCACGGTGCTGTGTGTTTTTGTTTCTACATTTCCGGGGTTACTTACATTATGTTTGTCCCATCCATCTATCCACATTGACCAGATTCAATGGATGAACGGATAGATGGGATATGGATGACTATACTTCGGGTTTCTTTTTTACTCCTTTTTCATGTATCATATGACTGACTATCTATGGACCGACGCACACTGGTTGTGTATGTACTTTATTCTAACTGTACTATCTATCTATCAAACTATCTATCAGCTATCTATCTATTTATCTTAAATCATTTGCAAAAGCGATGTATGTAGACCTAAATTATTCTATCTCATAATCGAAAATTACAGATGGTTGCTTTGCTCCGCACGTACATACATCATGTATGCTTTTTCGAAGCATATGTGAAACCTTATCCTCGCCTTTTATGGTAGATTTCACGTAATGGGAACTACTTAGGAGACTTTGGCGCTTTTGTACTAGAATGGAAAAGGCTTTGATGAGTGGTGGTCGAGCCTTCCATTAACTAGGTAACTATTCATTATTACTAAGTTATTAACCATAACTGGTAGGTAATAGGTAAGCTGAGTGCTGCTAAGCCGCTTCAGCCGTTGCGAAATGTAACGCTGTCTTTAATCTAGTAGTAAGCTAGGTAGTATTGAGGGGATTTACGAATGAAGATAAGTGAAGGAAAGAAACATCATAGTACTAAAATTATTACTACTATATGTTGCAAGACAAAGCATAAATTTGAGCAAGATGTAAGCAAGCAGTAAAGTACTCCGGCTAAGTTGCAAATAAAGAAACGAACTACCAATACCATCTAAGTTATGTCCATGACCAAACCCAGTAATGCCATTATGCCATGCATCAATCAGCCCCTATGTGCAAACAAGAGAACAGAACCTAGGAAGTATGAGTACAGCAGTACACACCCAACATGAAAACATGCAATCGATCAGTCAACGCCAGACACCAAGCTCAAAGGTCGGGAAATTAGAATGGAAGCTATTGTGATATAGATAGGGGGGATAGGACCGTCGGCCACCCTGTCTGCACTATTATATCATACTAGAATCTGTTTCGCTTGGAGTTAGCACACTAATCACCACCCCACATTTATCTGCGCAAGGGGTTCACATCAAACGTACCGAATTTCATAACTGCCCGCGCGAGTCATGTACCGCACCCACTTCACACTGCTGTAGTTGCTCTTCTCGAATACCTTCAGGTACCGCACCAATAGTCCACTGCTGGTGAACATGAGAAGACTGAACGACAGACTAAGCGGTGGCCGACTCCAAGCCTTCTGGTGCGTCATGCTCGTCAACGTCGCTTCTGCTGTCAGGACGTATTCGCTTCCACCGGAAAACCGCGCGATCTTCCACACAATGTTATTATGTTCCGGTTCGTACTTGGCCCGACCCTGACTGGTCCGTTCGGTCGTCTTGGCCGTGTTTAGCGGTGTTGGAATGCGAATCACAACGTTCGTCGCGAAGAGTTTCGAGCTGTAGTTTGCTTTGATAGCAACGCTGTATTCCACCTTGGTGGTGCCGACTTCACGCACGATCGGATGAACCTTGAAAGGCAGGTTGACGTTTTCGGTAGCGCGGTAGCGCATGAGCTCAAACTCGCCGTCGGGAGGCACAAAGGAAATAATACGATCGGCGTCGAAGCGGCCCAGCTTGACGCACTGGTGGAACTGGCAGTCTTCGAGTGTGACGGAGCCCGCGGCCGCGCGGGTAGCCTTCATAGTACCGTCGCGATTGCCGGGGGTGGAGGAGCCAGCAGCATCAGTATCGAGGAGCAAGCGGTCATTGAGGCCGAATTTGCACTCTGGAGTGCCGGAGAGGTAAGCTCGCATGACGATTTGGCCGTTGACATCGGCGCGAAGGACAGTGCCTGTGGCGGACATGAGAAGGTTGACGTCTTCGATCACGTCGACGAAGGCCTCGTTCTTGCGGTATTTAACGTCAGAACGGCGCCAGGAGAGAGCGCCAGTTGCTTGCATGGTGATACGGCTGGAATCGGTCGCAGAGTTGGCAATGGCGGATTTTACGCCTTCGGTGGTGATGTACATTTTCAGGGTGTCGGTCTCGGTGTTTTGAGGGTATCCGAAATCGAGGATTTCTATGAAAGAGAAAGCTGCGGTTTAGTAATCTTTCGATTTGGTAGTATTCCCGAAAGCAGAGATGAAGCGCACCGTCGAGCAGTTCGTAGATCAGGACAAAGTTGTTCTTCACGGCCTCCTCATCGAGCTTCCCAAAATAGCTCTTTCCCAGCATAACCAATCGGTATAGAAACTCGAAGACCAGCGCGGCATTGGCATTGCTCTTGGTCACGGCGACCAGGTAGATGTTTTCGTGTTTAACATGACTGAAGGTCGTGGAGCCCAGGGTTAGGATGGGCGAGCGGACTTGAGGGTTGGAGATGACTTGAATGCGGAAGATGTCGGCGAGGCGCGGGCGGCAGTCGCTGCGGAAAGCGCGGAAAATCAGGTTCTCGCCCTTTTGGTTGAAAATGAGGATACCGGAGAGCATGGTGAAGGGGCGCTGCGGAGGATGAGGGGCGGGAGGGGGGTGGAAGGAGAAGTAAGTAGAAGAAGAAAGGAAAGGGGGGAACGGAGAGGAATGAGGGGGCCGCGGAGAGAGGTGAAGTCGGTCTCGACCAGCGGAGGCGATGGATGCGGTTTGCCCGCCGACACTACTACTACTCGCATTACTACAGCTCTTTTCGATGCGCACTTCGAGTGGCCAGCCAGTACATAGTTTAGTACTTTATTCCAATTCTTCTGTGTGTTTGGTGAAAACTTGGCGATCAATAATTCGATGTTCTAATGCGTAAATATTAAGTCATGGCGACACAACACTCACATACGCAAGGGTTGCTCGAGCTGTCAAGGATGAGCATCGACAGCTCAAGTCTAGATAGTATAACTCTCGTCCATGGAATCGTTGTATTCGCGTGTTGAGAGGAACCCGTCATTCAGCTTCTGGTTAGTATATTTGTTTTCGGGTGCAAGTGAGGTGAGGCAACTTAACAAAAACACAGTAACTGGATGGTTCTTTCGGCTTCTTTCACGGCTGCGTCAAAGTAGGGCATATAACCTTTTATGGAAGATTGACAAATCCCCGATGGTGCCATGGCTCAAGTAGTATGTTGAGAAGATGGTGTTCTTTTATTGTATAAGCTACCGACTGGCATTATATGGTCTGATGCGTCTAGAGGGCTATAGGCAGCTGATGCAGAGTCGGAGGAGCGATGTCGAAAACACCAAAAGAGCACGCTTAGTACACTGTGTGCGGAGGTGCCTACGAGACACTACGTTCATGTATGTGCAGAATCATAATTGACTATGGAGGGCGTTGATCTCGAGATCAACCGTGGCAATTTGAAATAGGTATTATGTATGCTCGCGTTATTCCCGACTACAGCTCGATGCTAAGCTGTTTCCGGGTCTTTGACGGTCGAGCATACTAGGTATATATATACACAGCTCATATAGGCACCTAAATACATACAGACAGTAACACACTGATGGTTGAGAGGTTGTGCTATGCTCGTCTCATGTGCTGGCCGGATGTGCTGTCCACGAGTCGGCATGGAGCGACAGAATGCAACATGCCACTCCGTACTTTCGAATTCAGCAAAACCTCGTAGCGCTGGTTCACATTGCGATAACATGGACTGACGCCCACATGGCGGGTATCAAGGTTAGGGCATGGATATCATGACGGCGAGTCCAGTATCAAAAGAAATCACAAGAAAAAAAAGAGAGAGAATAAAATCTCGGAGATCGGAGTTCGAATGCAGTCCCCCTTCCCAACGAGACATATTAAAAAGGCGTAGATGATTAAAGGAAGTCGTAGAGAATGTAAAATGGGACTCAAGACCGCAGATGGCGATCTGACAGAAATCTTGCGGGAATTCCATCAAACGCCGCTGCTCGGCCGGGTCCCTGGAAGCGATGGAACTCCCTCACTGCGGATGATGCCAACCTTAGGATCCGGGATCTGGATGTCCAGCGACATGTACGCCGTCCTGCGGAGACTCCAGATATGTACTCCGTCCTTGGCCCCGACCTCTCTGTTCCACCTCTCCAGCCACGCTTCCACCCGTTTGAGATGGCTCTTGATTCCTGGCGCGCCTATGTCTTCCCAAATCCATCCCGTCAGAAGGCTCAGCGCACTGTCGATGAAGTTGCGAAGGCTGAACGGATCGAACGCCTTAACGAGCTCATCATTCACTGTGGCGATCACCTTTCGAAACTCTTGTTCGGGTAATAGCGGGTCCAGAATCTCGGGGTACAGGTTGGAGAATGTGGGAGCTAGGTCTCCCTTGATCATCCAATCACGCCGGATTCGTATGATGCGGGTGGTCATGTACTCCTCAGACCCAATCGGAACATGTGGGTTGATGTGAGGATAACACGGATGCGCAGGGCCCCAGGCTAACTCCTCCGCCACATCAGCCTCGCCGCCATTCTGAGCGCCGGTAATGGATGGTACAGATGCAATGTGTGACTGTGATCGCAGCGAGGATTGCGACTGGATGTGGCGGGGCCGGTCGTCGTGAAGCGGCCCAGGTCCGTCTACCGCGAAATCGAGGCCCAGATGCGCCCGTTCCGGAGCGCGAGGGTTCTTTACCTCCGGGGCACCATTTGATACTCCCGACTCGGACATTTCTCGTAACACCAGCTGGTCGTCAAACGCGCCACTGCGCCTCTGGCCGTGAGGCACTGCGATGCTGGAGCGTCCACTCTCCGTTTCCCCTTGGCTGCGCTCCACCACCAGACTGTTCGGGGATGGGATCGGTCGACTGCGACGCCGTTCGGGGATAGTCAGCAAAGGGTAGGCGTCTCGGTGTGCGTCGAGTGGGAGGTTCTCGTCGGAGAGCTGCGACAGATGGGGTACGGTGACCGGAGTGTTGCGGGGAACGTAATTGACAGGGTTTGCGAGTCGCACTGACGGCGGGCGCAAGATCGTGGGAGGTATCCAGGAACTCTTTCGCCGATATGAAAATCTGGCTTGGGAGGAGCTCGTTGCGGTGACCTGATCGGAGGATGTGGGGGGATGTGCCTCGAAGGAATGGCACCGGACGCGGAGGCCTCGCGGGGGATAAGGGGATGCTTCTTTAACCGGGGGCGAGGATAGTGAAGGGTCCGTTTGTGAGGCGAAAGGAGACGTTTTCGAAGAGGAAAACGACCGAGGGGGCCGCGAGGCGCGCTTAGATGGCGGAGAGGCCGTGGTGGACGAGGAGAGGAGAGACGTTGTGGTGGGAGGATTAGGAAATGATGTCGATGGCCCAAGGATAAGAATCGATCGCAGTGGGCGGCTTTGATTGGCGGGTGAGGATCGAAAAGGGGCGCGGCAAGGGACAGAAGATGATCTGAGCACGACATTCAACGATGGAAGGATGGAAATGATGCTGGTCAAGATGATGTTAAGTTAAATGGAAAAGGACCTCGAATGGGCCTCTCCGAGTTTCTGGTGCAACCAAGAGGGGGTATAATGAATGAATGGGAATGGAGTAAAGGAAAGTACTCAGTCAGTAAATAGTCGGTAGTTAGTATCTACTCCCTATGTACACAACTTGCTCTCACTACTAGGGAGGATGATGATCTCGATGATGAGGTGACTCCACCCACAAAAGAATGAATGCAGTGGGATTGAAACGAGTGAGTATAGTTTGACGGTTTCAAAGATTCAACTGCTAGGCCCGAAAAAAAAAAGAGGATGGCCATGGCTCTTATTATTGTCGCGGAATGAGTTCGCCCAGAGGCCCATCCTTTATCCACCGGATCCCGACTCGAAACAATAAACGAGTCAATAGCCCAAGTAAGGCTCCAACCCAACGCGGGAACCGGACCAGAACTACCTCGATTTTCCAAAGTTAAAAATATTCCCTAGTACGGAGTAACTACCGAGTAGTATTGCATCCATCCATACTACTATTCATTCATCCGTCCACCCAAAAAATGGTTGTGCAGCAAATCAGGTACCGCCGACCCTTGGATCAGATGCAATGATTGGTAGGTCCCCTCACAGCACGGTCCAATGTTCTTTTTCTCTTAAGATGGCCAAGGACAGGGCGAGCGATGAAGGACAGCCTCATGGCCAAGGACAAAGGCAGTCCGAGTCTGAATTAGATTAAATATTGGCCTGGGATGGAATTAAAATGAAGCTTGATCGCCTTCCTTCCCCCGTGCCATGACGTCGCCCGGCAGTCTTTTTGGGGTTCTGGCCACGGGACTATCACGTGAACTCATTGCTTCTCCGCCAATCAGAACCTGGAAACATCTTCACTGGAGCTCCCCTCTCCAGTCCAGTCAAGTCTCTCGCTTCACTCACTTCATCAAGAACTTTTAATCAGTTGTCTATACTTCGCTACTTCAGGCTCCCTTCGGCCACAACAAGGAGACCAAGTAGAAGCATTTATTTCTAATCACCCCGTCTCTTTCCAAGCCAAGACGGTTGTGAAGTTCTGTGCATCGTTCGTTTGTACCTCGCAGTCAAAGTGTTCGCACCCATCCATGTCGGACCCTTCCAACGCAGCTTCCGTCTCCTGCATTTGACGCGGCCTCCGCTCGCCATCTGCAATACCAGTATTACTCTACGCGTTCGACACAGCTGTGGCCCAGCTCAAAACTATCGTACTTCATCTCTGCGTTTGTACCATCAACGGCCCCAAGGAATGAAAGTAGCAACGCTGCAGTTTGCCCCTCGTTTGGGCGATGTCGATGGCAACATCAAGAGAGCCAATGAGCTGCTCAAAGACGGGAAGGTAGTGCGGGGCGTTGGAATTGGGGTTGGACTTGATCTCCTGAAGCCGGATGTTTTGATTTTGCCCGAGTTGGCCTTGACGGGTAAGTGTTACTCTGTCCTCCCCACGGATGTCACACGACGCATGAGCTTCGGGATGTTTGTGCTCGGTGGCTTGTTCAGTGTGTCTTAGCCTGGAGCTCTTACCTCTACCGACATCTATTGAGGTTCCCTTCGCCCCCGGATTTTTCTAAGCAGCACGGTCATTAATTCGGCCAGGATACAACTTCCCCTCGTTGGAGGCTATAAGACCCTTCCTAGAGCCCGTTGGACAAGGTCCTTCAGCGCAGTGGGCTCGAGAAACGGCCAAACGCTTACAATGCAAAGTCTGTGTGGGCTATCCGGAAATTTACACAGATGATGGTGCCCAACAGGCTGATTCAACTGATTCCAGGGAGACTTGCTACAACTCCCTGCTGGTGGTGGACGAAAGTGGTGACATCGTCCTAAACTACCGTAAATCGTTCCTATACTACACGGATGAGACGTGGGCGGCAGAGGGCGACCCGCAGCAAGGCTTCCACCAGCTCTCCTTCCGAAACTCAAATCAAAGCTCGGTGGAGTCCCAGATAGCTACCTCTTTCGGCATCTGTATGGACATCAACCCATATCGATTCGAAGCTCCCTTTACTGCCTGGGAGTTTGCCAATCGGGTCCTGGATACGAAGTCCGAGCTGGTCATACTTTCTATGGCCTGGTTAACCTTGTTGGAGCGGGACGAGCTCGACTCGCTCGGTGATGAGCCGGACTTGGACACGTTTAACTACTGGATCCAGCGGTTTATGCCGCTTATCAGGAAAAAGATGGGCCATGCAACCAATTTCGACGGCGATGATGCTAATCGCGGAAAGAAGATTATCATTGTGTTTGCCAATAGAGCGGGAGAAGAACCGGGCGCCGAAGGGACGAACCCAGCTCGATACGCGGGCACGAGTGCTATCGTAGCAATCACACAGAAACCACCATCCCGTACATCAGGTAAGGAAACTTCTTCTAAAGAAGGAGACCCTGGTGACGATACGGATGCCGCTGAGACAGATGCACCGTCATTTGATACACAAATTCTGTGTTGGGATATGATGGGTGCGACGACGGAAGGTATTTGTTTTGCCGACACTACGGCAGACCCCAGCATGGTGTTTGGATTGGTCAAAGCTTCAAAATGACATTCCAACTGCACATGAGGCTAAAGCCACCTCGGCGTTGGTGGGTTGCAGCCTGGAGTGGTGCCCTGCCTATCAATTCTATTTCAGATGGCGTCACTTGAGTCGGCGTTCGTAAATCAAATAGATCGTATACTGGGGTTGCTTTGGACGTGGACAAAAACCGAATAAGAGTCGCAATGCATGTCCAAGGATCTATTGTCTGGCACGATAGGAAGCCGTGTCGACGTCCTTTCCCCTGCTGTGTAGGAAGCTTATCTGGGCACCAGTCTCTGGCTCACTTGTTCTGTTCCCTGCGCTTTGGGCTCCCCACCCTGTCCTTTGACCTAGTGGGCTTCTTATCGGAGAGTGAAGTGCATATCGTCAACCGACCGACCGACAGACGGGCAGGTTCCAAAGTCCCGAGTTGCCACAGTGAGCCATGATCTATCATGTGAGGCACTTTCTGGCCCCAGTCAGTCTCGACCATCATTCATGTGACAGGCGATGGCAACTCGTCATTGTCACTTGGCTGTTTATTCGCATTGGAGCGACCAAGGCGAATCTAGACTCATTTCTGCTCTCCGGAGAATACCCGCCTACTACACAGTAACTGTATACTATCCTCCAAGGTCGATTGCGGCAAGAACCCCGGATGATCAGAGGGTTCCGGACAATGATCGCTACAGCAAGCTAAAGTACCTAAGGGTAGAGTATCCACTCCAGCATCTTATCTCATGACCAACTGATCAGCGACATCGCCCGTCAGATGGACTCCTAGTTCCTCAAAGTCAACTGCTGAATCTTGGAAGGAGGCTTTTTTTCTCTTCCTGTCGGGTACCCCCCCGTTTCTGCATGCAACCCTTGACGCGCATCCCTAGGCAAGGAAAGGTAGCATATTTCGGAGGATGCGCGGCCATCTTAGTGAGGAGAAGGCTAGTAGAGATCGCGACGGCGGACCTGATAGGTTGCATTGCGCACACATGTGACGGTTGGAGTTAGCGGACAGCCTTGGAAAGATTGAGAATTGACCCGGGTTGGTTCGAAAGAAAACAGAGTTGCTGCGCAATGGGGCAGGGCATGGAGGCCCATCGTGGCTTGATCATGCCAAATGGAGGGTGGATTGCGGGCCTCCCTCCCACCAGTACTTTTGTAGACTGACGATTGGAAGTCACTGATAGTATCTATGACCCGTTCGCAGAAAACAGGGGGCACAAAGGCAGGTGGACGACTGGACAGTCAGATCATGACGACATACATGGAAAGTTCAGACTGCAAAAGAGATCGGCGGCTAAGGGGAGGGGGGATCAGAGACAAGCCACCACAGTAATGACTCTTTTGAGACTTTGGTGCTGACTCGACTTGAAATAACTCATTAGTACTCCATAGATAGTCACTAGTTGTAACTACCGTCCAGTAACTGGTTGCTACTTGGAAGGGACGGGCCGACCGGGATGAGCAGGCACCCTCCACGGCGCAGCGACGTTTCCACTCCAATAATGGACTTCTGCAGGAATAACAGGATATTCCTCCCATTCGATCAGTGCTACTGTATGTTCTTGAATAGACCGATCGCAGGACACTAGAGAAGTCAGAAAGGACACCAATCAGTCCCCTTTTCCCCTTTCGAGCCAAGAGGGCTGCCGGGTTCCACGTGATTCCGGGTGAACCCCTCCTCCGACCACCGGGACAGAGGAGGCCTGCCGACCAATCAGAATTGGTGATCGAGGAGTTGGGTGAGGAGGGGGCACGGGATGGCAGCACCTGACAATTTTGTGATGGAGAAGGAGGGAATGGGGGAAGAGGAAAACCGGTTGGAACGGAGGTGAAGGGGTGGGGGGGTTGAGGGAAGGGAAAATAGGAATATGATAATGTGCCAGGGCAAAAAAATAAAAAAAACTCAATGAGAATGATGTTTACAGAAAATGGTTGGTATTGGTGGTGGTATGATTCCGGGCTGGCCTCACTTGAATAAAAGAGACTTGCTTACTTACTACTAGTAAGTTTAGTAGGTTTCTACTTTACTGTAAGTGATTCTCAGAATAACCCTCCTCCCCTTCTCTTTTATTGTCTGTTTTGGATCAGGTACTACAGTAGCCCTGTTTTTTGGAGGGAGAAGTTGAACTACTTACTATATACATTGCAGCAAGTACCACGGGAGTATAACATTAACCAACTGGTTAGTTAGTTAGTTACTATCAATACTCCGTGACTTTTGACTTTTTGAGAGAGGGTGGGGTCAGGTGATCGGCCTGGCGTTACATACTACTCACATTATCCTTTACTTTACACCTCGGGTCCATTTGGGTCACCGTAGCGGGCGGTTCTCCTCTCTTTGATTCTCGTCCTTCGTCCCTCGCCACGTGAGCAGTCCCTCTCTACTCGACTCTCTCTCTACTCCTCCATGTATCCCTTTTTTCCATTGTAAAATCCGCCACAACTTTTTGCTTGTTTTCAAAGCCGATCCGTCCGCTGTCTTTGATGTGGATGCTTCGATCCCGACCATTTCTTTCGTGAACAAATTTCGTTCTCCAGCTTCTGCGATCGAACCGGTGTCTTCCCTCTTGTTGTTGCCCGTGGCAGGTGACTTGCTGTCAGGTGATAGATAGACCATCCCAAGGTAATCAATCCAGCTCTCCCTCTCCTCCCCTTCGCTCGCGCTGTGCCCCTCTACTCTCTGTCGCCTCTTGTCTGCTCCGCGGTTCTGCCACGGCCATCAGCATCGCCATAGCATTATGGTTTCTGCTTTGGCAAACCCCCTTGTCCTCTCCTTCTCCGACATGGCCCGGTCGGGCGATGGCCGAGGATGATGATGCTGTTTTTTCCCGCTTCCATCGGTCGCAAAGGCGTCTTCGCGACGCGTCGCCGATCTCGCTCCCATCTCAGGGATTTGCTCTTCATCTCCTCATGTGCCCGTGCTACTGCCCTCGCTTCAGTGTCATCTCTCGTTTGTAGTTGTATCTCTGCTGGTGGTCGCGCCGTTCATCTTGTGTTCGGTGCTTGTTGGTGCTTGGATGCGGAGGTGGGCGCGTCAGCAAACGCGTTACTAGCTCACAACCCGTTCAGAGATCTGGCTCACCTGTGCACCCCAGCAACTGTAGCCCTTCACTGGGACTATCCAATGGCTCCACCGCAATTCAATGAATGCTACCATTTCCCCCACTTGCAATAGTGTTGCTTTGTTCATCCGCCGGATCATTTCCTACATCATCTTGAACCGTACTGATCGTGCAAAAGCAACTTGGTTACTAACGGAACTTCTAGAGTTAACGGGAATCGCCTAATCTCTCCGATTAGGCCCCTAGAGCTGGAGCGAAACTCCGGTAACTTCACTGAATCCCTATCGTTAGCAGGTAAGTGCACTTCGAAGGTGGTGGCTGGCTCCCTAAATGACGCGCCGCGATACTAACCGTTACGCACAGGGCAGTCATATCATACATACCTAACGATGTCTGATCCGTCGTTGGGTGCTACCGATGGTAGTGTTACGGCCAAGCGAAAGCGCGACAGTACCGATAGCACCGGTCCAGATGCCCAGCGTCTGAATCGATCTTCCAATGGGAGCAACGGCAGCATTCCCGCCCCAGATACTCAGCCGAACTTCGCCCATAGCTCTCTTGGATCCTATGACACGCATCTTCCAAGTGCTACGACAGAACTCAACATCGACCAGCAAATCCTGCAACATGTTGGTCCCCAAAACGGTATCTCGGATGATAACGCCCTCACTGCTAAGGCGGCACTCGCCGCCCACACCCCTCAGAACAAATACCCACCTCCCCCTGATGCGACCTTTGACAACAATCTCGCCCATGGCTTGACGTTTGGAGACGATATGGGCCAGGCTATCGGCTCCGCACATGGTCACAATTCTACTGCTGCCGCCGTCTACGCTGCTCGCGAAGCACAGAGCATGAACCAGAAGCCTTCTGTAGGTTCTCCTGAGTGGCATCAGATTCGGAAAAACAATCACAAAGAAGGTACAGCAATCTTTCCCCCTCTCCACTTTTCATAGTGCATCCATTAATAAAGACTTAGTGGAGCGGCGACGCCGTGAGGCGATCAATGAGGGCATCAATCAGATCGCTCGCCTTGTCCCCAACTGTGACAAGAACAAGGGTGCCATTCTGCAACGCGCAATCGAATATATATGCCAACTACACGAAGAAAAGAAAGCCATGAGTGAACGTTGGGATCAGAACAATATGACCACGAGCCATGCAATCAACGAAATCAGCTCGCAGAACTCCAAACTGAAGATCGAAGTCAACCGTCGCGGTGACATTGCGCTGAAGTGGCTGCAGCGCTGCCGCGACGCAGGTCTCGATTTCGAAGACTACGAAGACTCGAAGGAGCTGGAGCCCCTTGACATTGACCAAGGCCAGGTTTAATCTCGACTAACGTGCATTACTGTGCGTACAGAGAATGTAGTGTGAGAATCACTGCATTATCTCGTCTCTTTATATTCACATGTGCTACGACTTGTTTACCTTGGGAGGCATGAGACAGCACCGATCTTGTCGCTTGCTTTCCTCTTCCTTTTCCCCTTTTAACACCTTATCCTAACAGCTTCTCCCCTTTCATTGAACAGACCTTGCCTGATCTCTCCCTGTTTCCAATTTTATTTTCCATGTCAGTTATTTGCAAGGTACAGTCTTACGATGTCCGGTTTTTGTTGTGAGGGAGAACGATGTGGTTCTCCAATCTTTATTTTAATTGCCTAGCCTGGGGTGGGTATCCTGTTTCTATTTTCCCCGTATCTGCTTTTACCCCTGCTGTGATTCTTTTCTGTATGCTATTCTTAAGGATGGGACGGCGAAACTATGGCTGGGAGTGGATGATCCGATGGCCATGTAGCCTAGGACACCACGGCGTGTTATCGGAATGCAAGCTCATTTCAAGTCTGATCTCGGTATGATTCTAGTAATGATTTTGTAAACAGCAGATATCGGACGAGTAATCAAAGATAAGAGTGATTTGTCCTGCCTGCACTGGAATCAATAGAGTAGTAGATTACATGCGGCACATACATAGCCGATCACTCTAGGACACTTACAGTATTGGTGTCTCTTTTCCCTTGTTCCATTACTCTACTCATAGATACACAATCAAATCCGAAACCATGCCCCAAACCATTCACACCACACTCCATTTTCTTTTCACTCTTCAACTTTATCCCCTTCCCCATAGCATTCCCATCTACTACATAAGCAGTAAACACAATTGTCCAACTCGATTCGATTCACCTAGTAATACATAGATGATACCACCACCATTACGTACTACTATCTAGCACCGTACCATACCCGTGCCTCCTTTCTCATACATACAGTAGATAATAAAAACCATAGCCCCAGCAGTCTTACCCCCGACCGGACGACACCTGAGTATACATCCGGGCGCCCGCTGTTGACAATACATCACGTGCATTTACATACATCCCCATGTATGCGATGTGTGTGTGTGTGTGTGTGTGTGTGTGTGTGTGTGACGATTCCAAATTTGGCTGAGATCTGAGATCAGGATAATTGTTCGACTTGTTTCTTCTTCTCTTATCTTTTTTTCTCTTGTTGGTGGGTGGTTTTGCTTAGCTAGCTAGGTAGTAGTGTTGGATTAAATTGAGAGAGTGGGTTTGTAGCCTGATAGGTTGGATGGTGGAGGCTGGCTGGCTGCTTGGTTATTTTAACTTGGATACTTGTATTTCTTTCTGCGCGATGGACGAAGAGTATGACCTTGGTTGGGTTTTATTGCGATTCCGCGGGAGTAGATAGAAGTGATTACTAGTTCGAGAAAGGGTATATAGTAGTGGGATTGGGTAACTATGTAGTGTGATTTGTCATTTGGAGATATTGAAATTTGTGCAGTGAGTTGTATTAAATGGGGTCGTAGATGATAGTATGATTTGTTTATATGATAGTGTAGTATGATAGTTAGACAGTCGTGGCTAGAGAAGGAGAACCAAGTGGATGTGGCGCGGTGCGATATGTGGCATGAACGGTGTTATTCTTAGACATAAGTAGTAATAGTGGTAACCTAATAGGTTTTCGAAATAAGTATATACAGGAAGTTTATAAGATTTGTGAAAAGAAGCCCCCAAACAAAGCGCTAATACACCAAGTAAGCAGAAGCATGACCAAACCCGGCACACACACTTCTAGAGAATTAAAATTTTAGAAAGAGTACAACATCATATCCCGTCATCGCGAACACCCAGTCAGTCGGGTCAGATCACCAATTTACTCAAAGTTGGAGGAAGCAGTGACAGACGAGCCAGATGAGACGCTGACGTTCTTGACGGTGATCTGAGAACCACCCTCGGCAGTGACACGGACATCGACGGTGTCGGTACCGAAACCGCTCTGGTTCTCGAAGTAGTTGTAGGAGGAACGGGTGGTGGATTGCCAGGTGCTACCGCTGTCGGTGCTGACCTCAAGCTTGGTGACGGGCAGGTTGGAGTTGACGACCTGCATGGCGAACCAGTAGGCGGAGGTACCGCTCTTGTTGACCAGTTCGATCGGGGAGGTGATACCACAGGCAACGTATTCCCAGTCGATGCTGATAACGCCCTTGGAGATGTCGGCGAGCTCGGAGAAGGCGCTCTCGAATAGATCGAGGTGGTTGGAATCGCATTCGGGACATTCATCGACAACCTTGGAGTTTGTTAGAGACAGGAACGAAAGCATGTAGGGAAGCAGTGCTTAGGAGATGAGACTTACCATGGCCTTGATCTTGGTACCGCTAGGGCCAGTGACCTCGACACAAGAACCACATTCCGCTGCGTTGTCCCAGCGTTGGGAGGAGAGTGCCGTGCCGAAGAGGCCAGAGGGGATAGTGTAGTCGGTGAACGAGCAGGTTCCACCCGAGACGTTACCGCCGTAGAAAGTTGCCTCACCCGAGTACTCGGAACTCAGGGCACTGCTAGAGGTGGAAGAGCTAGAGCTGGAGGCAGACGATGTCGCGGCGCTAGCAGCGGTTGAGCTAGAAGAAGTAGACTTGGATTCGACGGTGGTGGCTGCGGCCTGGGTAGCAGCAGCTTCGGTAGTGGCAGCCTCAGTGGTAGCGGCCTCAGAGGTAGACTGAACAACAGCTTCGGTGGTAGCAGCAGCCTGAGTAGTAGCAGCTTCGGTGGTAGCGGCAGCAGCAGCCTGGCTAGTGATAGCCTCGGTGGTAGCGGCTTCAGGGGTAGGCTGGGCAGCAGCTTCAGTGGTCGCGACAGCTTCAGTAGTTGCAACCTCAGTGGTAACAGCCTCAGAGGTAGGCTCAGCGGCACCAGTAGTTGCGGCGGCATTAACAGCAGCATTGGTCGTCACCTCAACGACCGAGGAAGAGGAAGAGGAGGTAGCCTCCACAGCAGCGCTAGTCTCAGCAGCAGGGGAAGCTTCGGCAACGGAGGTGGTGGCAACTGGTGCAACGCTCTCGACCGCGGAGCTCGTGGTGGCGACCGCAGGGGTTGCAGTCACGACCTCGGTCACGATGACGGTTGAAGACGAGTGCAGAGTAGTAACCTGATCAACTGAAGTAGAGCTTGACTCGACAGCAGGGGACGAGGTTGACTGAACAGCGGGAGCGGAGGTTGACTCAACAGCGGGAGCGGAGGTTGACTCAACAGCGGGAGCAGAGGTTGGCTCGACGGATGCAGTTGAAGTGGGCTGGAGAGTAATCGTCTTGTAGTAGACGCTCTGAGTGTAACCAACGGGACATTGGCCTTCACCCACACTGGCGAGCGTAGAGGTTGGCGCGGTTGGCGCAGTAGAGGAGGGCTGGAGAGTGATAGTCTTGTAGTAGACGCTCTGGGTGTAGCCTTGGGGGCATTGACCCTCAGCTTCACGGTTCAGCAGTGGGTTAGCAGAGACCGTCGCAGCGGCACTCAGGGCAGTAAAGCCCAAAGAGGCGAGGCGTTGATACTTCATGTTTGGAAGATGGAGAAAAGTGTCTCAGACAAGGTGCCAAGAAATGAAATAAAGAATGGATGTCTCTCTCTCTTTGCCGGCCAAGAGATGGCGTGGAATCACAGTAAAGACAGGACGTGTAGTCAACACAATAATGGTCAGTAAGAATGAATGGACAGGATTTCAAATCCCAGTGTGTAGAATCTGCTGTTCCAGACAGAATGGCAAAGGAGCGACAAAGAGAGAGGAAGCTGAGAAAAGAAGGAACTTCGCAGAATAATAAGAGGCGAGGGAAGGAGAACGAGCGTTCGGGGGCGTCTGGCCCCAGAGCCAGGATAGTGTGATCCATCAGCAGCCATCAATCTAAGGAAATGAACAGTCGTAAAGATTTTCCCTGGTTAGCGCCTTAACTTTAATGACACATAAGCCCGAGGGAAGGCAGCAGCGATTTCGTTCGCGCACCGCGAAATGAGATCGCAATGTGAAACGCCGGGCGTGGATCACCACATTGAAAGACCAGGGAATTGGAGCAGAACTGATGGAGAAGCGCCGCCGCTGGGTCTTCCCTTTGCTCCGCACGTCTTAGATGTTGGCCAACATCAATGGCTTCTGATATTGAGTAATTAAACTACACGGGCCCGACCCACTGCTCGGAAATCACCTAACGGCCAGAGAAAATTGCCCGGCTAGTAAGCAGTCGGGGGCGATTGTCTCCCCTGCACCAAGCCGCCAATAGCCTGACCAAGAGCTCCAGGGGTGTTCAAGCCGGACTCACCTCTGGCTAGCCAGGTTTAGTCCAGGGTAAACAAAGGGAGTGGAAAATATGGGCTGATGGCGGCAAAAAGAACCATCAACCATTTGAGGGCTAGCAATGAACGGGGGATCCATCCGCTCCGCGGCATCCCGCAGTGGGTCGGGTCTCTGGAGCCGGGAGTTCGTTCACCAAAAAGTCTCAATAACAATCTTTATCAATAATATCTTAATCTCCGTTGGTACTGTTGAGAGTGTTGTCTAGCTTTCTAATCAGGTAGGGTCTTCAATCGGATGACCACAAGCGTCCAGGCATGGCCTCCATTGCGGGCTGTGTCTCCAGCACAGTCCTGGTTTGAAGCCGCATATAATCTATCCGTCACTTGGAATCCCACATTACCTCGTTTAACCTCAAGAGCGCATCGGCGCTGGCTTTCTTTGCTGCCATGAACTCCTCCCGATTCTCTGCACCTCGGGGGCCTAGTAGAATGTCTGAGAAGCAAAGGTCAATGAGGACCTTGAGTTCGTCGTACGTGAACGGTTCGCCATTACCAGCGGCCAGCGCTTGGTCTCCGTGGGTTGCGAACGATTCCTTCTCATCCTTTGCGTAGTCTAAGGCTTTCTCCGCACCTTCCAGGAACCAATCGAGGAATTTAGCGCTACGAGGCAGAGCAACCACCTCGGTGTGCTCACTGTTCTGCTGTGAGTTAGGACTGTCATCTTTCCGTCCATCATCTGTTGGGTCTATGATGATGTTCTTCAGATTCTGTTGCAGCACTAGCACGTCCAGCTGCAGTCGGAGCGCGCCATTTTCGTTCATAGCCCCAATATGACAGGTGTTCGCGACGAAAGTACGGTCGATGAATCGAGCAAGCCCAGACGTGATGAACCATCGCTCAGGTGGTCCTAGGTAAGACGAGATGTTGGTGTCAAACGCGATCAAGTCATTGTTCAGCTCAAGCACTGTAGGAGACGCAGCAGTTGGTTGGTTTGAGAGAATGTGCCACCAATTGGCGAGCGAGCTTGGGGAAGGCGTAGCGGGTTCCGAGCTTCGTGTGTTCCGGGGCTTGGGGCCTTCCATTGTCCGCTTCAGCATATGAATGATGCCGCAACGGATGTCGACATGCAGGGCGAAGAGAGCAGTGCATGCAAGATCGCGGAGAGACTGAAGAGTAGTATCGAACACAGTCGCTGTCTCTTGGTTCAAAGGAAGATAAACTGGTTGATTGATGCCCTCGCACTTTGGTTTCATGGCACCAATCAGAGTCCAGCGGCGATTGGCTGGTCGGGACTCAGCCTGTCGCGAGTCGGAGGCTGGTTGTGTGATTTGACGTAACTGAGCAAGATGGCTTGCGAACCATTGCTGTACTAATTAGCTTTTGTGATTGAAAAACGCTGGACTTGGATCGTCTCAACTAACCATGCTGTTGAAAAGAAGCGACAAGGATACGACTGTCTTGGGGTCAGATATGATGTCGTATGGCTCCAATGGAACCTCATTCGTCGAATTGATAAGGATGTCGGTTTCCTGATAGTGTCAACTCGAGCTTTCCAAGAAAAAGGCCTACCATAGGCCTTCGATAGGAAGGAATGGCACGGGGACTTTGTTAGCTACCTTGTCTACGAGCTCCCGCTTGTTCTCGGTCACTCCGTTCCATAATTCCGTGATAATGTCATGAACGTCGCCTGACTCCGCATGACGCGCAGCAGCCTTGAGCCGGACTTCTCCATTGTCTCGGGGAGATGTTTTGGTCACGATCGCTGAACGTTGCAAATTAGAAGAATGAAACAAGGATGCTGGCCACGGATGTCTCACCTTTGTACCATCCACAACACTTGTCGTAGTAAGTCACAATTTGCGAAAGGAGTAGCTGTGTGAAAGCTTGATCATGTGGGATGCTGGATAGCATTTTACTGAATTCTCGAATAATCGACATAAATTTGACCGTACCCTGCGCGACCAGCTGTTAGCAATATGTAAATAGTTGCCTAGGATTTCAATTACCCTGAAAACCGGTCGGGGAGAGACCCCAGACCAGTGAGGGTCCTCTGTGAAAGCATCCGGCGAGATAAAGCTAAGAGTGCAGAGGTCTGTCACGGTTTCGTCTAGCTGAGGGAGGAACACATTGACCAAGAAGTCATCTAGGAAAGAAGTCAATGTACTCATGGCAATGTCGGAATCCACGGGTACAATCTCCTTCAGTCGCTGAATAAATGATAGCGAAGGAGGAAGAAGGAGGCTCATGTTGAAGACGCTTGGCTCTATGAGGATCTTATGGCCAGTTCCCGAGTTTCCTTGTCTGGTGTCGGATGCATCGATGACAGCGGCTTTCTGGCTTGATTTGGTGACCAAGCCAGGAACCGAAGACCTGAGAATCTCGTCCAACTCATTTTGCTCGGCTTGTATTTCGGAAGTATGGTCCGTTTCGGACAATTTGAACATTTTCTATGGCCAGTGAGCAAATAAATAGGCACGTCTTCGTCATAGCACGCACCTTATTCTTATCTCTCTGCCCTGTATAAAGTTGTCGTTTCGCTTCAGCCTCTTCGTGTCGGGGCCGGAATGATGATTCTCCATCCGTTGCCAGGTAGTCATGCATGAGGGACCGGATCTTGATTATCTAGTGTTAGAAAGACAGACGAAAAAGCCCACAGCAGAGTCCATTCACGCACCTCACTTTGATAAAGCTTCCAAAGTTCCTTGAACCCACCCGCGAGCGCACTTCCCTTTGGTATACCCTCGCGTTCCACTATAGCCGCAATAACGTCATGAAGAACACGATGACCTTCAGCAATAGCCTCAAATTTAGCATACAAGGTCCAAAGAAACTCCGATAGCACGTGACCGCGTTTTTCGATTATATCCGTCGGCAAACTTGACTTGCTGTCTTGTGAGGCAAAGCCGCGGGTGTTGTTTGGATACCTTGCATCAATCTCGGCGTTGGTTTTATCAACAACGGCAAACAGTTCAACAGGCAGGCGTTGCTCTATCCTATCAACTGCGATGTCCAAATGACCCATCTTGTTCAGCGCTTCGATCAGCAATTGTATGTAGTAGAATGTATCGGCCTCCGGGTTTCGCGAAGCGTCTTCGACCATAGGCGTGGATGCGTCCAACTTCCCAAGAAATGCATAAACGGGTCTCTCCCATGAGCTTGTTCCGGTCCAGCTGGATGGGTGGGCCCCATTTCCTTCACCATCAGCAGCTGGTGGTTTCCAGCGGCCTGAACAGTAGGGAGATTTGAGGTAGAGGTGATCGTGCAGCTCCTCTATCAGAATGTCTGTAAGAGATGCTTCTTGGTTTCCAAAGTAGGCGCGAATATCTGCGAGGGCTCCAATATTCTCGAGTTCAGAGCGCCGCAACAGCCGCAAAGCATTATGCAATACCTCCACAGCCGCAAGGAATCGTTTGTCCGATATTCGTGATTCTAGCCTTTCGGGCAGAGATTGAATCTCTTGTATCTGGCTGAATAATTGTATAATGTCGTCATATTTCTGTGACGACGTAGCTAACCCCTTTAATTCGGGCTTGGTCGACAACAATCCGGATTTTGCCTCTTCCAGCGAGATCTTCAATGTCCGGACTCGGCTTTGTGAGCTCTGTATGCTTGACTGGATCTTATGATAAGTACCAATGGAACTATTGAAGCCCTGGTGATGTTCTGGATACTTCAGCATCGTTTGAAGGCAGATGAGGGGCTTGGCGGCTTACCATTGACAACGGACTTCAATGTCCTCTGGATTTTATCATTGATTCTTATAAAATCCGGCTCGCGATCGGCTTTTCCCAAGGTACTGGTATCCATCAGCTGCAAAGCGACTTGCACAGGCACACAGTTTTCGGAGGCCACAAAGTCCCATTCTCGTTGAACCATTTGCAGTACGTCTGTGACGGGAGCCAGTAGTGTTAGCATACTTCTGCTCAATCAAACCTCCCCTTGCAAAAAGTAAGAGGAAGAAGAGGTACAATCCGAACCTTCGATGGCCTGGGGACCTGCCGCATGACCGGGAACATTCTCGCCGCTGCTATTGTTTCCTAACCAGCTATTATCTCCGCGAGGGCGACCATCTCGAGAACCGAGTGCCCTCCTATCAGCCTCTCCGTCCCTTGTGCGCGATCGCGACGATGAGTGATCACCATCTCTTTCCCGTCTTTCCCGTCGTCGCTCGGGTGACTGTCCCGGTGACAAGGAAGATGATGAAGGCTCTGGATAGAAGCCACCGTATCCACCTGGGCGACGCTCTCTCTCCGCACTGCCTCCTCCGTAGCCGTTCATCCCAAGGCTGCTACTGCTTCCGCCGTATCCACCATCACCGCGGTCATAGCGGCTGGTATCGGAATACCCGTATCCGTTTGCGTAAGGATTACTGCCACTCATACCAGAGAATTGTCTTCGTCGGAGGCTAATTCGTGGGGAAGCTGATAATTGGGAGTTGAGGCTTTGCTGGCGAAGCGAAGGTAACGGGCTGTTTCGAAACCCTAGGTGAAGTTATGATCATGTAATGTTGTTGTCGCAATGATTCAAGCTAAGAACGATACTAGCATGATCGCCTGGGTTGAGTTCAAAGCTAGGGAGGAAACAACGCCAGTTCCAACTGCGGAGGGGGGGAGCAATAATATTGGCGTTAGGTCGGGGATGCTATGCGGAGAAGGTGTCAGCTTGTAGATAGGAGCGGCAGTTTGGGGTTGGCGGTCTCAACCTTTACCGCCTTGCTTGTTCTATGGTATACTCCGCACCAAGCAAGCCTGACAAGGTTACTGAAACTATGAATCTTTCTACATCCATTTTGTCTCATAAGTATGTAGGTAATGATTTTGAAGCAAAGGGAACCATGTATACTTTGCCTAATGCACGTCATACAATTGAGCACGTGTTACCGAAAGTCCTCTCAACGCGCATCCGCCTGGTCATGGTTACTACAGTCCATCCAAGCCATATGTCCTTGTTAATCCAAACGGTACTTCATCTTCTTCTTAACTTCTGGGTATCACAAAAACTATTTTTCTGGAGAGCAATTCAGGTAGCCAATGCCCAAGTATCTATCTACGTGCTGGATGTATCTACCTCGCATGGCAGCAGTACAGCCACTTACAGTGATTGGCTTGTTAGCGGGCGCTAATGTCCCTCGACATCATGGAGGTTTGTGACCCACCTTTATGGGACTCTGGTAAAGCATTCATCTTATCTCGATAAAGCGAACGTGTTATCTCCTGGGACTTTGCGTAGTTGACTGGGGAAAAGATCCAGTCGGTCTTTATACGAAAAGTCATCCCTCTCTCATAGAATGCCAGTCGGAGTTTACAAGGCATTAGGCAACGAATAATCAAGAATGCTGCAGGCGATCATCACATAGGCTCCATGCCACGAAGCCTTAATACTTGCCCTCATGAGGTTTTCTTCGGACTTGGTAGTTTCTAAGACAAAACGGGCTCGCCCAACGGTTTAGATACATGATTATGTATGCTTGTTCTCCAACGCATCTATCAAGCCTAGTAGCGGAAGAGAGACGGGAGCATATGAATTACCAACAGCATAAGACGCCCTTCAATCTTCGTGCTGGTCGCTGTTTCTCACGGTATGTCGAACCAGTCTATTTGGATATAGGCTGGGTCTCGCGCTGGAGCCAACTGCGTGTGTAGTCGTCGTTTTCGAAGAAGCGGTGAGTCTTCTCCCACACCTCTGCATGATAGTCATTTACCCATTTGATCTCATGCTCACTGAGAAGGGATGCGTTAATCAAATTGCGGCCCAGTGGAGCCATGGTTACGTGCTCGAATCCCAGCCATGGTTTTTCACCGAACTTATGAGTCGTTTGCACTTCACGCGCCATGATAACATCTGAGTATAGCATTAGTTAAAGCCAATCATTGTAGAACAGTCGCGAATGAGGTGGGGGTTTGCTTTGGAGAAATGAAAAACGTACTCTCAATACGGATGCCGAATTTTCCGTCCTCATAGAATCCGGGTTCTGGTGCTGTTAGCAAGCGGCCTTGTATCTGTATCCCAACTATCCTTACCGTCAGAAATAACGTTGCCCGCGGCGATGGGAACCTCAGTATACTGGACACGAGTGCCGATACCCATGGGTCCCTCGTGCACATTCTGTCGATACTGTTAGCTAAATGATGACAGGCATAAGCGGGGAGCTCTGTTTTGTAGTGCTGACCAGATAAGAGCCAATTCCGTGGCCTGTTCCGTGGAGGTAGTCGAGGCCTTCCTTCCACAGGAATTGTCTAGCGAGAGCATCAAGCGCAAATCCACTAGTACCCTTGGGGAAGACAGCAGTGTCGATAGAAATGAGACCTTTGAGCACCAGTGTGAAAGCTTTCTTTTCCAGTTCGGTGGGTTTTCCGAAATGGAACGTCCGGGTTACATCAGTGGTGCCATCCAGATACTGGGCACCGGAATCGCAAAGGTAAATGGCTGTTGGGTCGATAATGGAACAACTTCCTTTCTCTGGCTTATAATGGATAACTGCTCCATTCGGGCCTGTGGAGGAGATAGTATCGAAGGACAAGCCAGCATACAGATCATGCTTGGACCTGATCTGTTCCAGCTTGTCTGCCGCATCAACTTCATCCAAGGTAGTTTTCTTGTTGATCAACTCGTTCTCGAGCCAAGCGAAATATTCGATCAAGGCCGCACCATCACGAACGTGGCAAGCGCGCATTCCCGCGAGTTCCACATCGTTCTTAACGGCTTTGGCATCAGCAATAGGGCTACGGACCTCCTCAACCTGCTCTTCACCTCCCAGGCTAAGGCTAAGAGCCCAAGAAGCCTTGTTTGACAGCAGGAACTTGGGGGCCGCTCCCGTCGCGTCTTGCTTTCGCGCCTCGCTAAGCGCTTTGGCATCGGCGAAGATAGAGTCATACGGCTTGATGACGACATCCTGGCCTAGATGAGCTTTCACTTCCGGTGTTAACTTGTCATCGTCAACGTAGAGATCGACGGTAGTAGGGGTTATAAGGGCGTATGAAAAGAACACTGGGTTGTATGGAATACTGAAACCATTAGCACGAACCAAAGGAACTCTAGAGCCAAGCACTTACTCGGTGCCTCTCAGGTTGAATAGCCACGCGATCTCATCAAGCATCGCTATTGTATTCGTTAGCCGCAACACAATGCAGGTTTGGAAAGCAACATAGCATACAGATAACAATCCCAGCCGCTTTCTTGTTTTCCAACTCCTTGCGCAGGTCGCCGATTTTCTCCTGGAAGCTCTTGCCAGCATACTGCGCAGGGTGCACTCTCACCGCTTCCCTTGGAGGGGCTGGTCGGTCTTTACCCCAAACCAAGTCAACCAGGTTCTGTTCGACGCCCACAAGTGATGAGCCATTCTTCTTGAGGGTTTCCGAGAGACTACGGGCGCCCGCTACAAGGTCTTAGCGTTTGGATCGATTTTCGCCATAAGGTCCGTGACGTTGCTTACCAGGTGTAACCAGAGCTGGATCGACTCCAACGACCTTTCCTCCCTCGGCTTGTTCTGTAGTCCTATACCCAATTCAGTTTGCGATCCTATGTGTCTGATGGTTGGTTTCCAATACCATTCCTGCCATGTCGGGAATCCCTCAACGCCTCGCTTCAGAAGCGCCCAATTGCTGTCCAGCTGCTTCGAAGCCTGGTTGAAGTAGCGGCCATCTGTCGATAGTGCCGCCTTGGTCATGGAAACAATAGCAGTTCCTGCCGATCCGGAGAAACCCGAGATGAATTCTATCGGAAGAAAGCAAAGCGTAAGTTACATGGCGAGGGAGACAAGGCGCAAATGCGAATAATATCCGAATTAGGAAACTGCGGAAGGCGGGATTCTAACCTCGGCGGCCGTCACATGGAGCAATGTATTCGGACTGATGACTGTCTTCCGAAGGAACGACTTTGGCTTCAGTGAGTATATGATTTCCAACGAGAAGGACAGTGAACAGGGTTCATTGATGCCATACTGTAAACGTCCACCTTACGCTCCTGCATCAACTGCCTTAACCTGGCCAGGCGTTCTGACGTGTCCACAGTCTCCATATCGATGATGAAGCGCGGGGCGGAGCTGGAGAAGAGCCTTGAACGGGGTAGGGGTAACTTGCGAGCCGATTGGAAAGCTGAAGTCCAAGCAAGGCGAATTGGAGGGTGAGAAAAGAGCATCGACTGGCAAGGATGTGCAAGAAGAAGCTGCAGGTTTCCGAGCAGAAGGTGGCCTTGGATCCAAAGACTCCAAGAACACAGCTCTCAAGGTTGCACGGAGCAAGCAAGGGCCAAGGTAGAGGGGGACGGAGGGAGAGGGGGGGAAGGCGGAGGAAAGGTGGGGAGGGGCACCAAGCTAGTTATAGCTGGAATTTCCAACAGGGAGGTCGTGTGCGCAGGTAAAATTGAAGCTGGAAAAGATTTGACGTGGAGAAAGCGACGACTTGGAAGAACGATAAGCACAATAGCAGTACAAAGTAGACTAGCAGCAGCAGTAGCCGAGCATTGAGACGTGGGAGAAACGCGGAAGTGGATATTTCCCAAGAGCTGTCCGTTGGAGCTCCGGGTTTGGTGGGCGGTGGGACGGAGTTACTACTGGCAACAATCACTTACTGGCACCGTAGTAGCAGTAATAATAATTGCCACGGCTGGTAAGGAGACGGAAGTTACCATTCATTACCGTCATTAATCTCGCCATCCATTCCGGTCGGGTAGATAGGTCCCGGTGATAGGTCGAGCTAGCTAGCTGGGTTATTAGGCCTCAACACACCTGGAAACCTGGTAGGGAATAGTTGAAATATCAAAGAGTCAGTCATAACTAGTCCACTCGAGATGACTATCCCTACATGTTGCTCGGTCTGTTGCGGTATATTATTTTTTTTTTATTTTTCAGTCGCTGTATGATCAGCCGAATGTAGTGGTGAAGCTATGACACCACACCACAAGTTATCTAAATGAATGACTACACTAATTGGTACTAACCCAATTCATCAGTGTGAACCAAACTGTTGCCCCATTACCTTGGATCTCATTATTATTCACACCAGCCCACTATAGCTCTGGTATTCCTTTCTCTTGTTGCTGTCTCACTTTGAACCCATTATCACATCCCACTTTCCTCTTTTGCTTACCGCCTGCTACTTTCGTGATAGCATTATCAACACGTGACTCCCCTTTCACCATCTCTCACCAATCTATATTGTGCCAGTGACAGTTCCCCCAGCCTAAACAAGGCCCTCATTGTTTCGGCCATGTCTGTGGACATCCCAGGCCAAGCCATAGACGCGCAACTCCTCATCAATGAGGCCAAATCGGTATGTTCGCTGCTTGATGTCTCCATATGGATAGAATGATCACTAAGACAGTTATTTCTAGCTCGTGTCCCAACTTTATGATCCGGGGAATACTGGGAACCCCGCCAAGAT